TTCTCTGCCCTAGGAGCTTGGGATGGTGATGGGGGAGCTTCCTTCTGGGTGCTGGGACCAGCTCAGCTTCTCTGCCCTAGGAGCTTGGGATGGTGGCAGGGAGCTTCCTTCTTGGTTCTGGGACCAGCTCGGCTTCTCTACCCTAGGAGCTCAGGATGGCGGCAGGGGAGCTTCCTTCTGGGTGCTGGGACCGGCTCACCTTCTCTGCCCTAGGAGCTTGGGATGGCAGCAAAGCATATGGTATTAATCAGCTTTCCCACTGCTGGGACAAAATACCTGACACCTGCAACAAAACAGGAGAGGTTTATTTTGGCTCATGGTTTCAGAGGTTTCAGCCCATGGTCAGCTGTCTCTCAGGCAGAAAGCTCATGGAGAAAGGGCGTGACAGAGGGAGCTACTCAACTTATGGAAGCAGAGAGTAAGGGAAGAGTCAGAAAGAAAGGGAACCAGGGACCAAACATTGTCCCCAAGGTCACACCCCCATGACCCATCCCAACAAGCATAGAAGTGTGCTTTAGTAATATCCTGTGAGTCTCAGGGTGATCATGTTGACAATCGAGATTACCCATCACACATATAGAATATATTTTAAGCCACACACCTAGATAATATCACATAGACATTGAATACAGCTAAACAACAGAAGGTGGCCAAGGACTAAGTCTTGGGAAACTCCAACATTTAGGTTCAGGAAGAGGAAGAAAAACAAGTAAAGGAAACTAAGGAGTGGCCAGAGTTATACTAGGAAAACTAAGAATATATGGTATCCCAGAAGCCAAGTGAACTATTTCAAGAAGGAAGCAGGGTGATTTAAAGTCTAGGGAGTGTTTTTATTATGCTGGTTGAGTGATTGCGTATATAATATGTTCATGACTCAAAAAATCATTTAGGTGTAAATGTCTTCTCCCTTTCCTGTTCTCTAGCCATCACCAGCTCCAGAGACTACAAATTTATGCAAAGATATTTTACCCATATATAAGCAAATATATGTGTATGTTAATAGTCTTCTTTTAGGACTTTTAAAAAAAATGATGGCTCACCACTGTGTTCTTTCTTTCACAGTGGTCTGCTCTCACACTGTAGAGCATGCTTTTTCCCTTCTTTTACTTGGCCGAAACTCGCTGTGCAGAGCGTATTTCTTTCCCTACCTTTAATAAACGTAAAATCCTGCTACCTTTTAAAAAATAAATAAATAATGATGGCAGGTATTAAATTTTGTTAGTATGCTTTAAGAATGATGCTTAGAAAGAAACTGATGAAGGGTCAATATTTTAATAAAATGGAATGTTCAGAAAAGTTTGTGTAAAGAATAGTCCCTATTTGACAAATATTGAAATGTAGTGTACTAGTCCCTCTGGTAGAAATATATGAATGGAAACTTCAGCCCTTCCCCTTCAGAAACTTTCCATGTGGTTGGTGTGCAGGCTGCATACTTGTGAGAGAACAGGCTAAAGCAGTCAGTGCTCTAACAAGGACATACAAGGTCTGTGAAGGAAGCACAGGGCTGTTAAGAGAAGTCTTCACAGAGAAAAAGAAAAGCTGCCTGAGTTGAGAGGAATGCCAAGAGCATGGAGTGCAGATATCAGGCAAGGGTATACTGAATATGGTATATAGAATATGCCCCAAAAATGTATACATCAGGAAAAGAAAATCTTGCATAAATATTTTAATACTAAATTTATTGAGACATCATGAGATTAATCCAAGTTACCTTTGGCCTCTACAATTACAAAAGGTGCTCAAAGTGGTGGCCAGTAGCTGCCAGTCATTTATTAGTATGGTGAACTGCTGAAGTGTGTATACATTTTTTGGCAGACTGAATTTAACATTCCTATGCCATTCTCCCCTATACTTGAGTGTTATTATATTATTTTTTTGCAAGAATTGAGAAGATGCCAAAGATTTCTTGAAACTTGAATTAGACTATGGAATGTCATGTTTATAATTTTGAGGTTGCATATTGTAAATATCAAACTAGATTGAGTGTAACTTGTTTTTTTAAAAGTACTATACCATCAAAAAGAATGTGGAGTATCTAATTCAGTGTTTAGATTTTTCTTTATATTTCAGAAGAATTGAAATAGTATGAATTGGAATATCTCATAGTTTGACACAGCACTTTACTAATATTTAATATACAATGAAACTCACACTTTAGAAGTAACTATTTTCTTCATTTGTTATTTGCCATGTGTCATTTGTGCAAGTCATATTATTTTAGTGTAAAATCCGTAATTTAATGCATAATACCATTGATGTATTTTTTACTTGGTATATATATATATTTTTTTTCATTTATGAGACTGTTTTAACAGTGGTTATGTATTCATTTGTAGGAACTAAAGGAGACATCCCAAATTTTGGCACAGTAGAGTACTGGTTCCAATTAAGAGTTCCCATGGATCAAGCAATTCGACTTTATCAAGAACGAGCAAAGGCTCTGGGATATATAACATCAACTTTTAAGGAGCCAGAGCAAATGCAATCAGTAAGCTTGTTGAGTTTAAAACTCTTTTATGACAAAGAAATCTTAAAATATTTCCTTGTATCTCATGCTTTAAACTGAAATCACTTTCTTCCATAGCCGTCCAGTGGCTTTTTTAACACTTTTTATTTTGGAATATGTAAACTCACAGGAAGTAGCAAAAACAGTACAGAGAGGTCCCAGGTATGCTTCACCCAAGTTGTAACATATAACTGTAGTATGACATAAAACCAGGGAATTGACATTGATACAATATCTCAGCTATAGACGTTACTCAGATTTCATCAGGTTTTACATGCACTCATTTGTGTGTGGTGCACTTCTATGCAGTTTTATCATGTGAATAGATTCATATGACCACCACTACAATCAAGATACAGACCTGTTCCATCAACACAAAGGAACTCCCTTGTCTTAGTAAGGAAACGTTTGAAAAAACATAATTGAAGTATTATTTAAGCACATATCAAAAGTCTTTCATTAACAATTTCTACTATTAAAGGCCAAACAACTAATATTTGACTAACACTTACTGTCCTTCTTTCAAACTCTTTCCTCATGTTAGATTTCTGAAAGACAAAGTAGAATCCAAAATAAATATTTTCTTGTTGAGAACTGGGAGTTTACATGACATCATTCCCCAAACCATGTTTTGTGGAATCTTAATTACCATATTTCCACACAAATTCCATGATCTAATGAATGCAGAAAATACTGAATTGAGCAGAGTTAAATAGGATCCTTGACTTTAGTATTTCATGTGTGTAATGCTTTCTTATGTATAATGCCTCACCCAAAGGCATGAAGTATGCACCTATGCTTAGTGACAGACCGCATACAGAAGAAACATTTTGGTGTCTATCCAGGTCATAATTTGTTTCCCTTAGAGCTGCACCCGCCCCCAATCCATGGGCCCTGACCCCTCTGGCCAGGTTTATGTCATGTTTTCTCCCACACACCACCCAACTATAACTAAGGGTTCAAGAATATTCACCTGTTTCCAATTGGACCAGTCAAAGTCTACCTTCTGAGATCAAGAGAAAACAAAACTCTTCTTACCTGAAACTTGTAAAATTGGGAGTTTTGGCTGCTTCTACCACATTAGTCAGCAAAAGGAAAAAAAACATGGATCTGAAGAGAATAATGAACAATCGAGACCAGAAATTCTGGCGGTTTTCCAGTCTTGTTAGCTTTCTAAGGCACAGTCATATTTCTGCTGTAGAACTCCATGAATTCTCCTTATAACCTTATGTTAAAGTCCTCTTCCTGTTGTTTTTGCTAGATAGATTGGTTTCTGTGAGTTTCACTTAAACAACCATGACTTACATAACATTGGTTCCCAAACTTAAGAAACAATGGCACCTGCTTCCCATAGATCATCTTTTTGGTTAATATGCTTCACAACATACTTTGGGAAATGGGAATTAGAAATTAGAGTACCACATTGTTTGTTTGGTTTTGTAGCTTTAAGACTTTTATGCCCCCAGATTATGGCTTGCATAAGTCATTTACTGCTACAATTTCAGCTTTTGTGGTTAGATTTGTAGAGGAGGTACTTTTAAGTAATCATATTCAGCCTTTCATAGCAAACTAACCCTGGGAAAGCAGTATTGTGATTTCCTTTCCGGGTTTCCCCACTCCACACCACCAGATGTCTCCACTAAGGAGATTTACAACAGCAGCTCTGTTTTTCCCTCTCTAATAAACTTCTGGAGTCAAGGGTCCTAATTGTTCAATCCAGATTCAGAAATGCAGAGGGGTTTCTTTGTGGAAAAGTAGAGACTTTCCCAGCACTAAACTAAACAAGCCACTGAAGTGCTAACTTTTTTTTTTTTTTTTTTGAGACAAGGTCTCTCTGTGTAGTTCAGGCTGGCCTTGAACTCACTAGGTAGTCCAGGTTGGGCTTGAATTCATGGTGGTCCTCCTGCCTCAGCCTCCCTAGTAGGATTACAGGCATGCACCACTGCACCCAGCACACTACTATTTTTTGTCCCAGATTTTATCAGCTATAGAAGATTTACCATTTAGTGCAATTTTTTTCTTGTGTGCTGGCCATTCTAGTAACATTTCTGAAAGGGACCATAGAGTAGCTTCCATCTCTGCCTCCTAACTCCTTTCGCTCATCTCTTTTCTGAAATGGCCTCCCAATCCTAGCTTTTTATCCCTTCCAGGTTTATTTGTGACTCTGTTCTCCTGTTCTTATAGCAGCTGGATTCAGATATTGCATCTGCTTCTTCAAACCCCAGTGGTGGAAGAAGAGGGCCACCCAAATATAACAAAATAATCAGTCATCCCTTGGGGTGACCATATGAATCTCCTTTAGTCAAGTCATTCTTCCTTAGATGCATTGCTCACTTTACTTTTTTGATACTAAATAAAACTAATGAACTCAGGTTAACTCTTTCTTGGTTTTATTTGGTTTTAGTGCCAATTTTTACATGTATCTTCGGTCTCCCATGTTTATTGCTAATAGCTCAGAATCATCTAATCACACATGTTCTAAGGAATATTGGTTTTAAAGAAGAATCAAAGATTTTTTTTAACTGAGAAATTAACCTTCAAGTGAAAATATCCAGCTTTTGTCATTTTATAAAATTACTTTGTTTGGGGGTTGGCAGCTGCTGTTTATCTCTTAACTGTACTTTTTCTATAATTTAAATATGTATGTTTTTCCAGTTAAGTCAGCAAGTACCCAAAACTGCTCAGCTCAGTTCAGCAGATTCCACAGATGGGAACTTAAATGAACTTCACATTACAATAAGATGTTGCAGCCACCTGCAGTCCCGAGCAAGCCACCTGCAACCACACCCATATGTTGTGTACAAGTTTTTTGATTTTGCAGACCATGATACAGCCATCATTCCCAGTAGCAGTGATCCACAATTTGATGACTATATGTGTTTCCCAGTGCCAATGAATATGGATTTGGATCGATACCTTAAGTCAGAGTCTCTGGGTTTTTATGTGTTTGATGATAGTGATACCCAGGAGAATATTTACATAGGAAAAGTCAATGTGCCTCTGATTTCACTGGCACATGACAGGTGCATCTCAGGTAAGCCTATGTCCTTGATTTTATGAAATTATAAAAAACCTAAATTATACCTCATTGTTATGTCTATGATTTGTTTATAACTAATTTTCCTACCCTTCTCAAGCAACCTTTAAGCTTTGGTCCTATATCAGTACCGTTTTTAGTTATTTCCTTAGCAGTTGCTCTAGGGATTGTGCATTTTATCATAGCCTACTTAAAATTAATACTAGCTCAATTCCATTAAAATGTAGAAAGTGTATATTTTTATTGTCTTTTATAGTTACCTATGTAATCACCCTCGCTGGTCTTACATGTGGATTTGTGTCACCATCTCCTATCTTTTTTTTATGCTGAAGAACTTATTATATATGTTGTAAGTCAGGTCTGCTGTTAGTAAATCCTCTTGATCATCACGATTTGAGAATACTCTTATTTTGCTTTTATTTTTTGAAGGATAGTCTGGCAAGATATATTTTTAGTTGTTTGTTTTTCCTTCCATCACTTTTATTATATCAGACTATTAACTGTTGCATCTACTGTTTCTAGTAAGTCAGCTATTTGTTTTATTTTGGTTTATATTTGATGCTATTTGCAAGATTTTTGTTTTTCATTTTGAACACTTCAATTGATATGAGTAGATGTGGATCCCATTGTATTTATCCTACTTGGAATTCATGAAGCTTCTTATATGTGCAGCATATTGTTATACACCAAATTTGGGGAGATTTCTGCCATTTATTCAATTATTGTTTCTGCCCTTTCTTCTCCTTGGACTCCTGTTATACATGTGTTGGTAGAATTAATAGTGTCCCACAGGTTTCTCAGATTCTGTTCATTTTTCTTCATTTTTCCTCCCATTCTTCTTCATTTTTCCTCCCATTCTTCAGATTGGATAATCTTTCAGATCGTTCAAGTCTGTTGATCTTTTCTTGTGCCAATTCAAATCTTCTTCTCAGCTCCTCTCTGGAGTATTTTTCATTTCAGTATTATACTTTACAACTCCAGAATTTCTTTCTCATTTCCTTTTTTCTTTTGCTTGTTTGGGGTGGGAGGAGCACATTGGAGATCAAACTCAGAACCTTGCCTAGGCAAATGCTTTACACTTGAGCTATGTCCCCAGGCCACAATGCATGATTTTTTTTTTTTAAACTGGACATTTTGGGTAATATATTGCAGTATACAATATCCCCAGGTGGTTACTGTCATTGTTTTTGTTTGTTTGGTGACTTACCTGGACTAATTAATTCTACAGAGTCTGCTTCACCCACTGTGTGTAGCCATTGATGTCTCTGCTAAGTTCTGGTTGTTTTATTCTTGTTTTATTTTTAAGCACAGGTCAGAATATCTTAGTGGTCTGCCAGTAATTGTTCAAAGATATACATAAATACCTGGAGCTTGCAGGCTTCAGTTTTTGCCTGCAGGTCAGTTTGTAGCTTAGGGAATGTGTTCAAAGTTCTGGCAATCTTCAAGTCTGCTTTAGCTTTTACTTTCAGCATTTGCTAGTGTGAGGCCGATCATTCAACCAAGGGCAAATACTTTGGTAGAATCCTCCTGGGTTCCTTCTGAGCTTGCACATAGCTTTGTACATGCCCACAGCCTTCCATGCCAGGAGACATAAATAGGATCCTATCAAGCTACACTTTGGATGTCTTATTCATTTTAAATTGTTGCCTTACTTCCTGGTCTTTTTCTTACCCCATCGGAATTAAGACTGGCTATGATGTTGGCCTTCCCTGACTGTTTGGCACAGAGATTGCTATTATTTTTAACAGGGCCCTTAGGCATGAAATTATCAACATCCTGTTCCATATAAAGTATGCCCCTTCCAACAGAGGCTGCCAGTCCTCCTAGTCTACCCAATGCTGATAGACCTTCTGTACCATAGAGCTTAAGGAGGGAAGGGAGGAGAAGAGCAGTTCCACACAAAGGCTTTTACTAAGGCTCAGTATATTTTCTTGAGTAAATGGTTCTTGATTTGTTGAACAGTTTTGATCAATTTCCAGAGTCCTTAGATGGTTGTTTTTTACCATTTTGTCACTTTTATCATTGCTATTTGGGAAGAGTATTTACTGAACTATTCATTCAGCCATTTTGAAAGTCTTCCTCGTGCCTATAACAGAACTTTATCACCTCTGTTTCCACCTACATCTTTTTGTTCTCCCTAAAGCCTAGTGTTTTGGGCTGCCAGGCATAGTGGTGCACGCCCGTAATCCCAGCACTCGGGTAGGCTGAGGCAGGAGGATTGCTGGGAGTTCAGGGCCAGCCTGGGCTACACAATGAGACCCTATCTCAAAAAAACAAAAAGAAAGAAAGAAAGCCAGCTAGCCGAGTTTTCGGTGTTTAGGAATTTTCACTGTTTTCCCAGGTAGCCATTAAAAGAAATGTTATCACTCAAGGACCGAAAAAAAGGATACCCTTAAACAAAAGTTATGCTTGAAGTTTGTTAGTTACTGGTTTTTCATACCTCAAAATCTAGTGCAGTGATTAAAATTCGTGACTCAATATTAGATTCAGCTAGGTTATACTTTTTGTTACTGCTCTTTGTTCTGGGTTGTCTAATTTCTTGAACTTTTTGCTGTTCTGCTCTTGCTTTAGAATAATTTAATAAATACCAATAAAATACATTTAAAATATGACATAATATAAAGACTCCTTTAGACACATAGATTATTTGAAATTTTTAGTATTATTTTTTTTAGAAACAAGATTATTCGAGTCAAAATGAATATTGATACATGAGCCATACCACAAATATAATGTCTTGGAGAAGGCTAGGAATTCTGAATAATCTCTCAATTTAATTTCAGTGAATTAAAATATTTATAAATTAATGTTCTCATTGTTGAACCAGTGTAATCTTTGAGGTCTTAACTTCTGAAAAATATCTGTTTAAGAGATGAACCTGTCATAGAACCCTTTGTCTTTATTTTATTCTCTAAGACATTTGAATTATAAGTAGAAGTCAAAATTGTTTTTAAAGTTGAAGGGTAAATCTTTGTTTCTCTTTAATTCACGTGGTAATGAAACTTTACACTAGAATTAATTAAAATTATTTTTGTAATCTGACAGGAATATTTGAGTTAACAGATCATCAAAAACATCCTGCAGGCACCATCCATGTTATATTGAAATGGAAATTTGCTTACCTTCCACCAAGTGGATCAGTAACTCCTGAAGACTTAGGAAATTTCATACACAGAAAAGAGCCAGAAATTATTCAAAGATTACCTCCAACGTCCTCTGATAGCATACCAGTTGTAGTGAGTAAATGTGACTTAAAAATTTCTTTCAAATGTAAAACTTTATATATAAACTTAATAGCCAAATACTTCTGAGAAAAAAATAGCTGGACTTACTTAAATATAATAATCAAACTTAGTCTGACATATTGGTTTATCTTAGGCACCAAGAGCTAAACCAAGACAACGTTTAAGACCTATAGATAAGAAGGTGTCTTTTGTGGATACTATGCCACATCACAATTCTGTAAGTAGTAAACATTCAGAATACTGGCATTTCTCTGTTAACAAATATTTTAAATTAAAAAATAGAGATATACCCTAGCTGAGTTAAATGGAAACAGATGAATAAAATATATCCTTTCTATTTAAAATGATAGGTTTGTAATTTAGCACTATGTATAAAAGTTAACTTCATATTCTTTTATCTAAGTCTTTATGGCCCTATATCTCTCTCTAGGTATTGTCCTAGTCCTCTGCTCCCATTTACAAAAAAGTCTTCAAAAAAGTTGTCTAATTTCTTTCTCACTTTTCTCACACTGTTTCATGAACTCACTCCAGTAAGCTTCATTAAAAGCACTCTTGCTGAGATCACAGTGACTATGTTTGCCCTATCCAGTCGTCAATTCTCATTACCATCTTACTCTCCCAATACATCTGATATGTGGAATACTCCCTCTTCTCGTGACCCCTGGATACCATGCCTTGCTAGTTTTCCTCTAACTTTAACAGTTACAGTTCTCACTCTTCTGAACCAGATCTCTGAATGTTAAAGTGCTTCACTACTTAATCCTAAAACCTCTTCTCTTCTCAAGCTGTATTCACATTAAGAGATCTTATCCAGTCTTATGGCTTTAAAAAGCATTTATATGTAGATGATCCCATATTTATAATCTCTAGCCTCAGCCTTACTGCTAAATTCTGTTTATTTTGTTACTGTGTATTTCATATGCAGTGGACATCTAATAGAAATGTAAACTTTATATGTCAAAAACCAGACTCCTGATTACACCAGTCCTCTTCCAAAATGTTTTCCTCTTCCACTGTCTGCCACCTCAGTAACTGACATAACCATTTGCTCAGCTGCTTAGGCATAAAATTTTAGAGGTATCCCCTTGACTTCTTCCTTTCTCACACCCCACATACAGTTCATCCATAAGTTATCAACTGCATACACTTTCAAAATACATGCTGTATTTGTATAAACTGCACTGTTACCACTCACATCACCATCATATCTTGTAGACTTTAGAAATACGTTTTCTACATACTCAACAATTATATAGTAAAGGACACAAATTTTAAATGTGTAGATTGACAAATTTTTACATATATGTCTTATATAACCACCCCCTCCCATCAAAATACTGTTTTGTGTTCACAAGACTTAAAATGCCTGGCACAGAAGGATCACAAGTTCAAGTCTAGCCTAGGCAATTTAGCAAAACCCTGTCTCAAAAAATAAAATGAAAAGGGGTAGGGGTTAGTCTAGCACTAGAGTGTTTCCTTAGCATGCACAGGGCCCTGAGTTCAGTCCACAGTACCACAAAAAATGCTTTGCATATACAAAAAATTTAATATATGTATACTAAATAAATGAAGTTAATAATTATAACTCAGAGGACATCTTATCCTTAACATTTATTGAGTGCTTATTATGCACCAGGAACTGAAATAAGTTGATATTTGATACAGTAAAAGGATAATATTGGTCATAAGAAGCACATACCTATTCAAGCATGTATAATTTCTTAAGTTCCAAAGTAATATATCATCATCATAGATAAATTAGAAAATGTAAATAATAAAAACTAATAAAAAATAAGATTTCCCAAACTTATAACTCAGAGTTTTAGCGAGTTTCTTTCCATACTTTTTCCCATGAAAATATGCACATACATATATTTGATCACAAGTTTGTTTTTGTTTTTGTTTTTGTTTTTTTTAGGTACCGGGGATCGAACTTGAGTCCTTGCGCTTGCGCAGCAGGCAGCGAAACCACTGAGCTAAATCCCCGGCCCCCACAAGTTTTTTTTTAACAAAACTTGAAACCACTGTATATATCATGTATATCATGTTCTATAACTACCTCTTCTATTTAACAGCATATAATATACTCTGTAATGTCAGTAAGAACAGATCTACATCATTGTTTTTTTCATGGTCATACAGAACTCAGGTATTTGAATGAACCATATTTTAACTAATGTCCTAATGTTAGACATTTGCAATGCTTTTCATTTTTTTTATAATAAACAGTGCTTAAATGAACTATACTTGCAATTATTCAATTGCATATACATATACTTTAAGGAATATCTATCTGGGAATGTAGCTCAGTAGTGGCACATGTGATTAGCATGCATGAAGTCCTGGGTTCAATCCCCAGCACCATCAAAAAAAAAGCATATCCATCATTTTATTGAAGTATATATACTAATTAAATTCAGTGTCACATGGGTAACTATTATATTTGCTGCCAATTTTTACTAGTACATATGTACATACATGTGTAAAAGTCTTAGGATGATTTTGTATTTACTAATAAGTATAAAATAATATGCATTCATTTTCACATTAATATAAGGAGATTTGTATCCCTCCTGAAGATATGAAGGAAATTTCACCAGATGTGGAGTGTACACCAGAAATAGATAATAATATACCAGCTATTTCACATATTCCCAAGGTATGCGTTTGTATTAAAATTGTTTTGGAAGGTTTAATTTGGTTCTTAAAGACTTTGTCTTGTGACTCAGGAAGTCATGCACATATACCATTTTTTCATATGACTTCTTGGCAACAGAAAATCAAAATTTGACAAGTGGATCAACTACAATTATACTGATATTGGCAAGTAATATATAGAAATGCAATTAAAGTCTTAATGTAAAACTCATTTTGAGATTACTGCTTTTCTCATTCTTGATATATATTCAGATTTTCATTTATCTATACAATTTGAATGGTTTTCTGTTTTCTCTAATATGGCTCTTATATATAATGTATTTCTGTGTATTTGTCTCACATGTACATGCTTTATTATTCAAGTGCTGCAACAAGAATACTATAAAATGTGACCTAAGCAATAATAAATATAGCTATGTGATATTTCTACAGATTTCACAAGAAAGCATTATAGCTAAGGTAAAAGACAATGCTGAGAAAACACACCAAGGAAAAGAAGAGGATATATCTTTACTATCTGAGGGCCAACTTGCAGAACAAAGCTTGGCTTCTTCTGAAGATGAAACAGAAATAACAGAAGAAATAGAACCAGAAGGTGACTTTCTTTTTTAAATCAACATATTTTTAATCAACTCTTTGTTTTGTTTTGTCTTCTACAGTATGCACATAGAACATCTTCATTTAATAGTAGGATGTACCTTATGGTACTTATTTCTTGACAGAAATGATGGTCTATGGTTCATTCATTCTGCTTAGCTATGGTTAGGAAGAATTTTATCTCTTCTAATGGCAGCTTTCAGCTCCACAATAGAATACAGTACAACTATCATTGCTAACCTTCTTCCCAATTTATAATGTAAATAGTTTTTTATTCTTTGGATTCAGTGTTATCAATTGAAATATTCTACAGTCTTGACTTTTTTTTTTCTGGTACCAGAGATCAAACTCAGGAGCTTGGGCTTGTGAGGCAGGCGCGGTACCACTGAGCTAAATCCCCGGCCCCAGGCTTGACTTTTTAAAAATTAAAATTGAGATTGCAAGCACAAGGTCCTGAGTTTGATCCCCAGTACCAAAAAAAAAAAATTAAAACTAGGAATCCTGACCCAAAAACAAAGATTACTGTAGGGTTTCTTTTTTATAAAAATTTAGAAAAAGCAAAGTAATACATAGTGACAAAAAGCAGGCAGGGATGAAGAAATTATGAGAACAGGGAAGGGCAGAAAGGAAGAGACTACAAAGAAGCTTAAGGAAACTTTTGGGAGTGATGGATATGTTCACTTTCTTAACTGTAATGATGGTTTCACAGAATTAAATATATGTCAAATATCAAATGTTGCAGCCTAAATGTATATGGTTAGTTGTGTGTCAGTTTTGCCTCAATAAACCTATAAAAATTTTTAGACTTTTAAGCAGTAAGAATAACATTGACTTTGATACAATGTTATTGGTTAGGCTTCTCTTTAAAGCCTATTTATACTTCTCTTTAAAGTTTTTAAATTTCACACTATAACCTATATGAGGTGTGATTGAAAAATACAGTCTGTGTTTAAATTTTTAAAACATTATTACAAAATATACATTGCCCCTCAAAATTCTCCCCGCGTCAGACACTCTTATCCCATAGTTCTTGCTACTTTCTGAAGCAGGTCTAAAAGTTGTCTTTCCTGAGTATCTTTAGTTGCTCTGTTGTGGCTGCCTCAATATCATGAATTGATTCAGAACATTTACCTTCCATGGTCATTGTGACTTTGGGGAAGAACCAGAAGTCATAGAGTGCCAGATCTTGTGACTAAGGTGGATGAAGGCACACCTAACTGTTTTTAGAGCCTACCTTTCCACAGAAAGCACTTGGCAGCACCATTCACTGTATTTTTGACCCCTCATACAGACACAAAAGAGGACTTCCAGAACTGCTTCAGAAAGTGGCAAGAATAATAGTGGGCCGGGGTGTAGCTCAGTGGCACTGCGCCTGCCTGGCAAGGGTGAGGTCCTGAGTTCAATCCCGGTTCCTTAAAAAAAAAAAGAAGAATAGGAGAAGTGTGTTTGAAGAGAGGGGGAGTATTTTGAAGGAAATTAATGGCAAGGTGTCTTTTATTGTAATATTTTTAAAATCTAAACATTCACGGTATATTTTGATCACTGTGTATATTTATTTTTTATTTTCTTTGTATTTACCAAAACTAATCTTCAAATTTCCAATCATCTTTTATTTTCCAAAATGTATTTGTGAACAAATTGCTGTCATAAAAAGATCTAGCCATAACGATCATATTGTTCTTTTATGGTTTATCCTGTGATGTGTGCTTGTTTGTGTTTCACAAGAAATACTTGGTAGCTTGGATAAGTGTTGCCTTTTTACTTTTTTAACAGATGAAGAGGACAGATCAGCTTCTGACAGTGATGACTGTATTATTCCAGGTCCTCTCTCCAAGCATGTCAAGCAGGTCAGTATCTTGATGCCAACAACTAGAAATGCTCTGAAATAAGGCTCTCTTTTGTTCATAGTATTATCAGTCTTCATAAATGAAAATCTTAAGTTAGGCAAAAATATTTCTGGAAAAATTTAATGTATTTTCATAATCTCAGCCAAGTAATTCTCTAGTACAAGACATTTCATGTATCGTTTCATTATGTGATGGACTGTAACATATAAACATTGTTTTTGCCAAAAGTACCTAACACCAATAGCTTAGATAGTTACTTGCTAAAACCAGCCAATTTCTCTGAATCCTTTTCAGGAGCAGTGTATAGAGATGTATTGAGTCAGATCTGAATTTTATTTTTTTGTTTTTTTGTTTTTTGAGACTGGATCTCTTTATGTAGTTTAGGCTGGTCTTGAACTCACTGTGTAACCCATGCTTCCCTTGAACTTGTAGTGATCCTCCTACCTCAGCCTCCTGAGTGCTAGGATTACAGTCATGCACCACAGTGCCTGGCCAGATCTCAACTTTTAAAAATTCAAAATATGGTATTGCATTCAAAACTATGATAGCTTGCCTAATATGAATTCTTAGTCTATTCATAACTAAGAATGTCTGCTGATAAACTTAAGGTTATTTCATTTCTGACAAAAAAATTAAACCTTATTGGCTAATAATTAATCTTGTACAGGTATTCCTTGCCTTGTTTTGTACACATTATTATAAAGTAGCATGTAAATTGAAATTTTGAGAAGAGTATGTATTTTAAATATATATGGCAAGCATACTATATGTCTACCAGAGCACTTTGTATTGTAGAGAGGGGAAAGCTTTTGTAATTTAAATGTAGGTAAAGTTAAAAACCTTAGCTTTTTCTGTTCATCTGCACTCATTTTCCTGAAGTGATTAATATACCTTTTTTAAGAATTTCTACTTTATTGGTAACAATTGCAATACTTCTTTTAACTCTTCTTTCACACATTCTTGTCTTAATATCTCTCAAAAACAAAAACCATAGCACAGAACTTTGTCACAGGTGCCTCCATGAAATAGAGATATTGTGTATGTACCTGATGAACATTCCATCTGTCCAAAGTTTTATCAATATCATTATATACTTATTATTTATAATAATATTGTCTAAGCTGGCAACCTAATATATGTAGTTCCCATTGTTCAAAATTGATAAGGAAGGAATTATATATACAGTTGCCTAAAAACTTAATTATAGCACTCAGTTCAATTAAATTTATTTTTTTCCTTAGTTAAATTTTAAATTGCTAGGGCTGGGGATTTAGCTCAGTGGTTCTGCCGCCTGCCTCTCAAGCGTAAGGTCCCGAGTTCAATCCCCAGTACCAAAAAACAAAACAAAACAAATCTTAAATTGTTAAGTAATTTTATCAACCCAGTGAATGAAATTCTCCACCCTCATTAGAACAATTCTCATTAGAACAATTCTTTAATAGTGTCAGTGGGAATATGTTTGTGAGCTTAGTTTTGTAGCCATAAACAAAACTCACAGGAAAGATAGACAGTCCTCAGAGGAGAATAAAGAAATTGGCTCCTGTAATTTTAGAGACTGAGAGGTCCTAAGATCTACAGTCAGCAAGCCGGTGGAGAACTGGTGGCGCCGTGACAAACTGAGCCCGCAGGCCTAATAGAACCAGAGTCAATGGTGTGAGAAAGCCAGCAGACTCAAGAACCATGAAGAGCCAATCCACATTTGAAGACAGAAAAAGACCCATGACCCAGTTCAAGAAAGTCAGGAAGGAGAAATTCCCTCTTACCTAGACTTTTTGTCCTAGTGAAGTCTTCAACTTATTGGATTTGACCTACCTACATGAGGGAGAGAAGTCTGCTTGACTTGATCTATGGTGATTCAAATATCAGTTTTACGAGAAACCTCCTCACAGATGCCCAGAATAATATTGGACCAAATGTCTGAGCACCTAGTCAGGTTGACAAAGAAAATTAACAGTCACACCATTTTACTAGCAATCCTCCCCCCATTCATCATAAGTCTGCATATTTGACTCAGACATTGCCTTCTTATGCATCAATAGTTTTTCTGCAAGTTTTTTGGTTACAAATACGATTTAGCCTTTCGAACACAAGGATATGAGAAATGACATACTAAATCAGGCTAGAAGTCTATAATGAGTTATCCAGGGATACATTTATCTTGTCAGTCTACAATCAGCACTCAGACCTCTTGTCATAACAACAATGTCAATAATTAGTATCATATTAATAAAGCATAAAGAAGATTTAGCTAATATGTGGCCTATCTCCTCATTTTTTCCAGATTAGTAAAATAAGATAGATCTTGAGAGAAAAAGTGACTTGCTTACAATTATTCTACTGATTAAGGAAATTAAGGGGAAGGAGAAATTTGGAGTGATTTTTTGTAAGAGACATCATGGAAGTTATGCCCATGAGCCGGCCTGCCCTTCTCGTTCCCTTTCTCATGGGCTGCTTTTCTTTTAATCATTTTGAGCTGAATTTCTCTGCATGCTTAATGCCCAAAGATAGTCATGAGAAAATGCCCAGCCCCAAGGAGAGAGACATAATTAGCTACAGCTAGCTTCTGGATTGAATCCAGGTGTGCACCATTCATCAAGTTACACGAAACAGGGCATGTCCTGCTACAACTATGACATGTCAAAGATGTGGAGAAAGTCATGTGCACTTCTCATATAGGGAGGGAGTGTACACTGTGTGTTTCAGAAGTCCAGAAGGCACTAAGCAGGGCAACCTTTCTGTGGGAAGATGTGGAAGGCTTCAGTTACAGTACAGCCAGCTATAGTTTGAATTTTATCCTTTAGTAGATACTAAAAGACAATGCAATATCCGATTTTATTTTCTAAACACTTTACTCATTATCTAAATTCAACATTGAACGTATGGAAAATTTTAAATCATACACTCTCAGACCAGTGATTCTAGCTGGGAACAGTCTTGTTGCCCAAGGGACATTTGACCATGTCTGCAGACATGTTTGGTTGTCACATTAGGAGAAAGTGTTACTAGCATCCAATGGACAGAGATCAAGGTTGCCACTCAACACATTGCAGTGTTCAGAACCCAGAATAAGAACTATCTAACTGGAAACATTAATGGTTCAGAGGTTGAGAAATCTTGCCTTAGACCTACAATAGAACCATGTCCATGCTGGCAATGTTGCTAGCATCTCAGTGAAGTTGTACATTGCTCTTACCTAAAGTAGAACAAAGATGCATGATTAGTAGGAACTGGTTCTCTAAAATATTCAGCTAATTCTGATGCACATGTATTATCTCTTTGTAATAAACCAAGGCTTTTTTTATTGTTATTTCTGGGAAAGTAATGTGTGTTACTTTGCTACAGCCTAATACAGTCTTCATTTCCTGTCTAAAATGTGAATTCTTGTAATAGTTTTTCAGATGCTGTCCCCAAAGTGTGAACATCATTTAAAGCTAACAGTTCTTCATGCCTCAGTAGCCATTAATCAGTTTCTATGTACTTTTAAAAGTTCTTACAGTAGCATGTACTGGCCAGTATCTTATGTTAACAGGTGAAATTTAGTTTTGTTAAATTATGTATAGCAAATATAGTAAAATGCTATAATCTGTAAGCATTGAGGGGAAAAACTAAAGAAATCAACATAATAGTGCCTGCTGTGGTTTGATGAGTTTGTCCTCTCCAAACTTCATGCTGAAACTTGATCCCCAGTGCAGCAGTATTAAGAGCTTTGGCTGTTAGCAGGTGATTAAATGGTGCTGGCACCATGATCATAAATGAGATTGGCTCCCTCATAATAGAGCATGATGTTGAAAGGAGAGTTGTCTTGATCTTCTGCTCCTCTGCCATGTGGAGGACATCTTTTTCTTTAAAGATTGCAAAAGTCATACAAAGATCTCTTATATATTATTTACCCAACTTCACAAATTGTTAACATTTTGCTACATTTGTCTTATCCATTTCCAGTCTCTCTTTTATTTTTGTATATATGCCTGCACCTATGTACTTATTTATAAACACATTCTTACACAAGTGCTATGAAGCATTTGAGAATTGCATAAATCATGCCCCTTTATGTCTAAATTCTGAAGACTAATGATACAATATTGTTAGGTAATTCTGAGAATATAGGAAAAAAAACTCCATTTATCCTGCTATATTCCCATTATATAACACTCTCACACCACTTCTGTGACAAGATATATGTGAGATTTTTCCCTCATACACCAAGGATGGTGATCTCTAATTTCACTTCAATTCTGACATTATCTACCTAGAGGTAGTAATGTCAGATCCTTGGTAAGGAAGGGCTCAATCCCACAAGATTGCCTCCCCTTCAGATGCCAGTGACAACCCCAAGTAGTTTAACCTGTGCTTCTGGCCAGCCAGCAAGCTGCACATTAAGGTTTCCATGACCCTTACCTTGGGTTCAATTAATTTGCAAAAGAGGCTTACAGAACTAAGAGAAACACTTATCTACTTTCACTGGTTTACTATGAAGGTTACTACAAAGGATACAGATGAAAAAATGCACAGGACAAGGTGGGTGAGAAGGGATACAGTGCATCACCCTCTGGGCACCTCCCCATATTCAGCTATCTCAGAGCTTTCCAATCCCATTCCTTTGGGGTTTTTATGGATACTTCATTAGGTAGGCATGATTGATTAAGTCATTGGCCATTAATGATCTACTTAACCTTTAGCCCCTCTCCCCTCCCTGGAGGTTAGGGGTTTGAGCTGAAAGTCCCAACCCTTTCATCTTACACTGATCTTTCCAGGGAGTCAGTCATGTTCTTAGCATACAAAAGAATTGTTCTCACTCTAGAGGCTCCATCCAAGGTTTTAGGAGCTAGCTGTATGCCAGGATACTGGGCAAAGACCAAACATACACAGTATTTCACAATATCATAGCAACCTATAGTTCTCATTAAAACTTTGCCAACTACCTCAATAGTATAATTTATAATATTTTGATCTAGTCTAAGATCCAATCCGGATCACATATTGCATTTTTTTTCATGTCCCTTTAACCTCCCTTAATCTGTAATTATTCCTCAGCATTTGTTTTGGTCTTTCCTAATACTGATATATAGGCCATTTATTAATATTATAGAATATCCTTCAATTTGGATTCATCTGGTGTTTCCTCAAGATCAGATTTTGGTAGGAATAGTACAAAAACAATACTATGGGTTTTTTTCCCTCTCCAGTACCGGGGATCAACCTCAGGACCTTGCACTTGCAAGGTAGGCGCAGGGCCACTGAGCTAAATCCCCAGCCCCCTTCTGTGTCTTTTTCACTGCATCATATCAAAAGGAACAGAGGGCCAGGGATTTGGCTCAGTGGTTTGGCTCAGTGGTTCCAGCGCCTGCCTCGAAAGCACAAGGTCCTGAGTTCAATCCCCGGTACCAAAAAAAAAGGAACAGAATGTCATTTTGTCCAATTACTGATGGTATCAATTTTCATTGAATTATTATGTCACAAACCCTTTTTTAAGCCTAAAAATACCTGTAACTCATTAGATTATTTGTCTCTTTTGAAACTACATTGGGCCAAAATCTCAGACAATGATACATAGTCTTTATAAGAAGGAAGGTATGTAGGTCAGCTTCCATTACTCTAACAAAGTACCTGAGATAATCAACTTACAGAGAAAAAAAGGTTGTTTTGTCTTATAGTTCTGGTTTAGTGTCTGTTTAGTCCAGGGAAGATTGGTCCTGTTGATTTTGGGCCTGTCACAAAGCAGCACATTATAGCAGGAACACAAGGCAGAGGAAGCCCATTCGTCTCATGATTGGGGATGAATGAAGAGAGGTATTTGGGGTCCTAATATCCCCTATAAGGACATGCTACCAATGAACCAATTTTCTTCTGGTAAGCTCTGCCTCTTAAAGTAGTACCAAGCTGGAAACCAAGCCTTTCGGGGACATTTCAAATCCAGATTATATCAGAACATGTTACCGAATGCCTAATATGTGTTAATCACATTCTGCCTAATATCTCCTCACAGCAATTCCTCATTCATGTGGATATTCTGTACACTGGGCAGACATAAAAGAAGGAGCTCCTTCCCTCAAGGAACTCACAGTCTGTGGAGGAAACACCCTTAACAGTTGCCTTCCATATCCACAGGTTCTGTACATCTATCTTGCAATTTATTGCTTGTTACACACAAGAGCCTAGGTTATATCCACTAAATTCATCACCCAGCGACATCTCAACTGAACTTTCACTTATTTTTATTATCATTGTTCCTTAGATGATATATTGTAACAACTATTTACATAGCATTTATCTAGAGACAATATGCGTAGGAGAATATGTGTAGGGTGTGTGAAATGTTGCCCCATTTTATATTAGGGACTTGAGTAGCTGAGGAGAGGAAGTGGTCCTGGCACTAGGCAAAGGGAAAACAGAGTCATGATGGGAGCACTAAGCAGGTGGGGGGTGGCAAAGGCAGCTTTGGGGACCTATAAGTACCGTGGACTAACTGATTGTGCCACTGGAGTGCCCTCTTTGGGGACCTTGATCAAGGATGACTTCCTAGAATTAGTAAAGCCTGAACCAAATTCTGATGAGTAGGAGTCAGGAAAAAATGGAGAAGGATCTTTAGAGGCCAAAAGAACAATAACAACAACAAAAAACCTCAGGAGAATTTGAGAGAACATAAAGCATGGATTGTTCTGGGATCCAGAAAGATGTTAGGATGGGCTGAGACAATTGTGGTCCACATGAGGTGCCCCAGGAAAATAGGCTTAAAAAATGAGCACAGTCCTTAACATTGAGGCCGTTCAGTATTTTTAAATATTTTTGAGACAAGATTTTGCTGTTTTGCCCAGGCTGCCTCAAACTCCTGGGCTCAAGTAATTCTCCTGCCTCCACTTCCCAAGGAGGTGGGACTACTGTGTCACCTCTGAGTTATTTTAATAAATGGAGGAAGATTAACCGATATTTACTTGCAGTGTTCCAAGCCTTATTCTAAGGATTGGGAATAGAACAATGAATAAGAGAAATATACCCCTGTTCTTAGGGACTTTGTAGTCTTCCAGTGCATTTTAAATGATGCTGTAAATAGTGTAAAGAATAGATTAAAGACACAAAGTTAAAAAATAATTAGATGAACCTACTCCATAGTTACCCCCACTTTATAGACTTTTTAAAAATTGCCTCCATCCTACAATGTTGCAAAATTAGGACTAAATGTATCTTAGATAGATACCATTTATGCCAATTATGCTATAGAATTTGAATTATCTAATATACTGTGTAAGCAGTTTAAGGTCATTCAGCTTCTGTGTGTATGTGTTACAGAATCTGACAGCTCATAATTATATCTTAGAAATGTTGATCCTTAAAAGGAATGTCATAGATTTCTCAGGACTTCAGCATATTACTTGGTTCTTTCTCTTTTCTTCACGACTATGATCTATAATTAATCACAGATTACTTCATTTTGTTTCATTTCATTTACAACATTTATGAGCTTCACTTTGTCAGTATGAAATGCTTGTCCCCTCCTTTCCTTTCCAAAGTGGTATAATTAGTGTTAGCATCTTTTTTAACAGGCTACATAAAGTTTAGTGACTGGATTAAATCAAGCCATTAACATAATGTGCTACCCAATTTGCCCCTATCTCTCTTCGTTTCCCGGACATCAAAGTGCCACAGAGCGCAAGTGTAATTGGGCCTTGCTGGCCTGTCAGATTCCGTCAGCCTGATGACTGCTGCTTTTACTAAAAAGCTTCTAGGCATGATAATTAATGGGGGTGGGGGGAGCAGGAGTCTGAGAAATATAAAACTTTGGACATTTCTCTATGAATATTTTATTAATTTGAATAATCAGAAGTTAACAGTATCAACTTGATGTATAATACATTGATTAAAAGCCTTGTTTCAGGTCCTCAAAATAGACATCAAAAATGAACATTTGCAGTTGCCATGGCATTAAAAACATTAACGATTCTTCTTTTCCATTAATTCCAATTCTATAATTTAAATAATGCATTCATTTTCCACAACAAAATATATTGCCATCAACTCACAGATTTCTTAAAATTCGCCCACAGGTGAGAATGGGAAATCACAGGCTGAAAGAGCAATAGAGACTTCTGTGCAGTACATATTTACATCATTCTCTCTTGCTGTTCCTACTAATAGCAGTTTTGTAAAAGCTGCCATCTTCAATTGTACTAAATTGCAATTGCACCTGGTATCCAGATTCTCTGAACATTAGGCTGACATTCCCAGGTGATTCCAATAATGACATTCAGCAAAATATTTTAAACTTTGAAAGTCAAAATTCAAAAAGCATTTTGCATGTACATTCATGTATGAAAAATTATAAATCACTTAAGAATCAAACATATCCTATCAGTGGATAATAAACTCTTCTCACTGTTTTACATGTGTAAACTTAGGCTATATATAGTAGGTTTTAAAATATATAAAACCAAAAGTTCAAATTACTCTCCTGATAATAATGCTTTTTGAGCTATTTTTATGTTTCACAACTTAATTATCTCTTACAAGTATACTAGGATCATCTTTCCATAAAAGCATCCTATTTCTTTTAGCATATGTACAATATTTCATTAAATGTATTCCACATTTATTTAAACAATCCCTCGTGATGGACCCTTACATTTCTATCAGTTTTTCCTAATGCAAACACTCCTAGTCAAAAATGTACATAAAAATGTGTGAAAATTCCTGTTTCCTTCTATCACACTTTGCCAAACTAGTGGATAAGAAATTACACCTCACTAGTGATTCCACTTAAAAAGAAATAAAAAGTATATTCATATACACATTACGTACATACATTTTATATGAGCATACAGATGCAACATTTATAAGCTAAAATATAAGCAAAAAAAAGTCTGGAAGGATACATGCCCAACAGTTTAGGATTGAATATTTTTAGGCCAATCGGCAAGTAATGGCTCATGTGCCAAATCAGCCCTGTTTTATTGGAACTCAGCCACACCCATACAGTTACATTTTGTCTATAGCTGCTTTCAGTCTACAAGGGCAGAGTACTTGCAACAGAGACTATGTAACCTACATTGCCAAAAATATTTACTGCCTGGGTTTTTATGGAAGAAAGTTGCCAGCCCTCAGGGAATAGGATGTGCTAAGTAACATTTTGTAGGAGACCATAGATTTGGACTAGGAAACTGAACTGGGCTGAAGAGAACAAAACAGTATAGAGTTTAATCACAGTACCTGAGTTTTGGTTAGTTGCACAAGACTTTATAACCAGTTAGCTATTTAAGTTATAAACAATGAACTAGTCAGGCTGTCACCAGTTGACTGGTTGACTAGACTATAGCCAGTTAAATTGTTTTCTATAAATGCTGGCTGGTCACATTGTTGGCTGAAGTTCTTAGAATCTTCTGTGGTGCTAGGAACTGCCTAAATCACCAATCAGTTTTGATTTGCTTTGCTCAAATAAATCCTACTATGTTTAATGTCTAAGGAATTTTCCTTTTGACATATGAAACAAAGCTTTTTATATTTTACTTTTTATAATTTATATACTGAGTTATTTTTCACAATGAATGTAGATTGCCTCTAAAAAGGAAATAATTTGTTAGCTAATTCTAATTTTTGTACTGTGGGAGCTCATCTATAAATATCTTTAAAGGGCCAGTAGATGTGGGATGAATCTTTCTTTGGTTTAGTATGATCCCTAAACCAGCAGCATCAACAGCATCTGAGAATTTGTAAGAGATGCAAATTCTTGGGTCCTACTCCAGCCCTAATGAACTAACGCTGATTTATCATATGAGTCTGGGGTGTGCTAAAGTGTCAGAACCAGAGCTTTAGGGAAAAGCAGCACTTCTCACCCTTTGTTGCACGTTAGAGTCACCTAGGGAACAGGTTTAATGCCAACTCCTAAGAGAATCATGGATATATACAAGAAAACATAAAAAGATATTCAGCACAACACTATTTGTAATAGAAACTGTAAACATTTAATTATTTGTCAGTAGGTAAATGAACAAATGGACTACAGATTATATGTGGAATTCTATAGAAGCTAATATGAATGAATTTGAATTATAAATACCAGAAACAGTATTGAGTGAGAAACAAATTGCAGAATGATAACTAGAATATGATGCCACTAATATAAAATCTAAGAACAGAAACGAATACTATATATTGTTTAGGAGATATATATATATATTTAGGAGATATACATATTGTTTAGGATATATATATAGAGAGAGAGAGAGATATAGGATAGATAAATATTGTTTAGGAGAAATATATGTATGTATATTTAGAAGATACGTGTATATATATATATATATTTACTAGAAAATATAAAAACATGTTGGAGCCAGCTTCAGTATAGTGGTTACCTCTCGGGATTGAGAAAGGAAGGAAAAAGACTTGACAGCTGAAGCTTTACCTGGATCTGAAATATTTTATCTCTTCAACAACAGAAAGATTTGAATCAGATTCAGCAAAATGGTAACATCTGTGTAAGACCGTGAGTACTTGAATATATCAAGTAATTTTCTGTACTTTCAGTTTCAAGTGTTTTATAATTAAAAATTAAAGAAATGCTTGTTCATTACAGAAATTGAGTAAAATTAAACTTGCCCATAATCTCATCAGTTAAATTTAAATCTTACTGAGACAAATTGCAAAACCTTTATCATAGGCCATTCTGAGTTATGCAATACTGTATTTAAGGGTTGTCAGGTTGAATTAGATTTTAGAAGCTCAACAATCCAGTACTAGTGTGGCTGCTGTGATGGCTGAAACTAGAGAAAGAATTCAGCGTAATCATCTGATATATTTTAGTATATGTGCTGCCAAAGCGAGCACATAATCATCTGATATAAAACAAAAATTTTCAGCTTGCCAATATTAAGCCTAAGTAAATACTATAGAAAAATATGACCTAAAATATGAATTAGCATCAGTCAGGAAGCAACAGTGGAATTGAGCCAAAATCATGAGTGCTATAATTTACTTTTCTCTGTGAGTAATACAGACTGTCATCACATTTCTATATTATTCAGTCACGTAATGTGTAGTGACCATCTATATAGGCAACTAAAAATAAGTTGCATGTAGTTCTTATTTGCATCCTCTCTATTACTTCTGTTCAGTCAAAACAGTCAAAATTTATAAATGCTCTTTTACATGCTGATGTTGACATCTTGCTACTTAGGAAACTTATGGAGCATCTGGTGAACAAGACAGACTACTGAGACAAAGCATCTTCCCTAGTAATAAAGGTCCACACACAGAGACAGGAAACAGAACTGGAAAATCCTAATGCCTCTGCTACCTGCCCAACTTGCTGCATGTGAAGGGTGCTAATACCTTTTAAAGATATGACCTGACATTTTGCTCTAGTAATTCTAAACAGACATATAAAGCATGTATCTGAAAAGAGTGGTTCAATCACTGCCTTAAAATCAGTAGAGGATTTACTACCCATTCTAATTTTCCTAATTGAATTGTCTTGTTTCCATTTTTATTGTGAAAATTTCATACATACAGAAAAGTTCAAATAACAGTACCCTATCATCTAGATTCAACACTGTTTTGAGATAGTCTTACTCAGTGAAAAAAATCTAGAGCAGTAAAATTTCTATGTACTTTGCCAGTAGTTAATCACCCACTTCCCAAAACATAACAGACACATATTTTTTAAATGATAAAGCAGTAGTAACTGCAGCTTCACATAGTTCTGACAATATATAAAAAGTAATATACAGAACATATTCAACCTCCTCTATTTCACTAAATATTTATTGAGAGTGTACTATGTGCCAGATGCTGGGAGCATGTTAAATAGAGTAAAATGCAGTGCTGCCCCACTGGAGCTCACATGTGTGGAGAGAGGCAAATGGGTAAACAAATTCATGCAGTACAATGTGACTGAGAAGTGCATTGAGGGCCCAAGAGTGGAAACAACCAAGTAACTTGCTTTTGGAAATTAATAATGCTTCCATAAAGGAGAGTATGTGTGGGTCAGGGCCTCGGATACCTAAATTCAGTCTGATGGAAAAGATAATTTCAGACAATAAGCAACAGATGCAAAAACCAAGCAATATAAACAGCACACCACATGTTGAGGGAATTGCTAGAGTGTTCAAGCAGAAAGGTGATACCTGACTGGTTTTTAAGGACCAAATTCTACCACAATAAGGAGAATGGTTGGGATTGCAGGCAAGAAATTAAAGATAGGAGTGCCTCATCTCTCTCACAATCATAAGAGTAAATCCACTCACTGGGTGTGAGCTGCATCCCACACCTGTGATACAGTAATCAATAGAATCATCCCTACCATCACTGAACTGATAGCCTTATACTATCCATCCATCAGCTTCAGTTATCAACCAGTTATCTTATATGTTAATTCATTCTAGTTTCTCCTTATTCTGTCAGATTTCCACTTTTAATAGCTAGAAAGCGGTTGTATTGGTTACCTCTAATGAGAAAACATACCTTGCATTTTTTACTTCCCCACTAGCTGGCACAACGTTTGAAATACCATACGCTCTCAACAATTCAGTGACTCATAGAGATATATAGGAAGTACGATGAACAGAAGTGGGTGGCCGTAGGATATAGTGTGTGTGAAAACACTGGAAATGGCAAGAATGGCTCCAGTTCTTTTGGTTGAGGGTGACAACAACTAAAACGCAATTTCACCAGCTGAGGTAGGGAAATATTAGAGGATGAGTGAGACTGGGAGAGAGGAGTAGTGAGAGGAGAAATAATGAATTCATTTCTGACATGTTGAGTTGGAGTTGTCTACTATGAAGTTATGTGCCTCCTAATCTTCAAATCATCAGATATGATCCAGTTGAACTTTTGATTCACAAGGGCTTGAATACAACCAGAATTGTTTCAGTATTGAAAGATAAATTGTCTAGTCTCATTAGTCAAAATTTATAATGTTAGGAAAATTCTTTATTGAGAACTTGCTTTCCTAGATATACTTCTTGAAACATCCCTTTTTGGATTTAAGTTGCTTCATGTAGCATCAAATGAATGAAGAAATGATAACATAACTTTTGTCATTAATATTGGTCAGAGAATTGAAAAGGTCATGTAATAGAAACAATAGGGATGGAGGAAAAGATAAAACTAGACCAGCATAAAACTTTGTAAGTTCTTTTATTTCTTTGGATAGTATGGTAGATTTATTTTTTGTTGTTGTTTTGAGTGTTTTTAATTTTACTTTTTGTTTTTGTTATTCGGTTTTTTGGGGCTAGGATTCAGGTATCTACTTTTATCTAGAATTATATTTTAAACCTTAAAGAGTTGCATATAGTCTTATTTTGACAGCCTACATTAATTCTTACAATAATGAAAGCTTTCATATAGGGACTATATAGTTAATATATTATTAATAAAATAACCACTTAAATAAGCTTGATTATTGTACTTTAAACTTCATTTGTCTCTTCATTAGATTCTGTATTAAACAACTTTAAATTTCTATCTTTACAAGGTAGAAATAAGTATATAACTCTTTTTTCCTTTTTATAGCTATTTTCCTTTAATCTTTTGTGCAGAAGCATGAATGTTTTGTAAGATATCCTTGTTATAACAACTCTTAAGTTTGTCAAATTTCCAAGTCATGTAAAAGACTTAATTATGCATTGTGCTACACTTGGACTGAAATTATAAAATATATGTGTGTGCAGTATTTTTCATTACTACAATACATTTTAAGGAAAAAATAATATCATTTAACATATTTTCTTTACCATGTAGTCTTCAGCAAGTGGAGAAGGGCTTTGCTGAAGTGAGATTAGACAATAGAGCCAACTTCATTTTTTATGCACGTGAACGGAGAGGACTTGAGGTTATTAGTTGAAACCGAGTAACCTTTCCAGCCTTTCATCTCTTTCTTTTCAAATTTGAATATGAAAAGCATATTCTAGTCAAAGACCATCACTTTAATGACATTTGGCAGTCATTTGATTTATTAGGTTTTAGAAAAAATTTTCCTTTAAATATTTCATCATACTATGCTAATCCTAGTAATATTGCCAGCTGCAGCCTTGTACCTGTATTAGTGGAGACAGAATAGTGTGGAATTTTCTCTATCATCCTAGTAAAATTTCCATGAATCTACTGAATAATAAAATAACCTTATTGAAATATTCAGATTTGAGTTTTTAGTTAAAGTGTCTTAGAATACATAATAAAAGAAAATGTCTTTTGAAAGAAAGGGGTAAAATTACTTCATCAAATATTGAGGGGGTTTGACAGCAATGGAAATTGTTCTTTATGGGGATAATTTTACAATAGGATACTTAGGCTTTTCAATTTGATTAATTATATACTCTGAAATATCTACATAATCATCATGGTATATTTGCACACTGATGTACATTTAACAGTGAATTCCCCAAAGCAGGTCATATAAACAAGTTTTATTTTTACACTTTGCTAATTATTATTGAAGTTATATAATTTACAGTGGCATGTCTCAGAACTTAGTAAAGAGGCATTTTGACAATAAAGAACAAATTTTAGATTGTAAAAAATGAATTTAAGGAATTATTTTGATGTGATCTGATTTTTAAATCATAGTCTTTTATTGGAAATCATTACTCCAGGAAACCTTTGTGACTCACAATAATGTCTGACACCTAACTATTAAACAGGATGAAAGTGCAATTTAAATATCATTTTAGTTAATTCTGAAAATGCAAAATAAAAGTAAATTGTAAGAGACTACATGTGTTATATTAGATATGAAATTCTGCCTCTTTTGTTTGAAAATGTATTATTTACTGAATGAAATATGTTGTGGCAGAACATATGAGAATGAGCTATAGTTTCTGCTCTAGTTAATATAGATTCATATAGCTACATAAACTATTGGCATAATAGTGATAAAACATTCAACAGGCTTTGATATCTGAATAATTGAAACTTTCTCAGGTACTGTAGATAAAATAAGAGCAGTGATAAACATGTACTTCACTGCATAGTTTGAAATAAGGCCAACTGATGCTTGTCATTCTGAAAGCTGAGATGAAGATCTCATAATCTTCACTCCTGATAGACTACTAGTGGAGTATTTATAGCCTCAAATGTAAATCAGGAGACTATTGCATGACACTGTTAACTTCAAACCCTGGGGCATTAGAATCTCATTCTCTCTCTCTGTCGTGAATAATCTATCATGTGTAACATACAGTAGTGTACCCTACATTCCAGGAAAGAAA